ATTTAAATCAGTACAGCCAGCGAAGGATCGAACGCAACTGTTTTGAATGAGCGCACCTTTTTTTAACAACCAAAAAGTGGCTGTTTCTTTGTCTGTTGAGGAAGTACAGACGATCCTCTCATTGATAGCAGAGGAGCGGATCCAGCGAGAGCTTGATGGGGTGACGCGGAATGAAAATGTTTTTCAGGAGTCGCGGCAGTAGAGGCGGCGCAAATATAACCACATGTGAATAATCCCGCCCATTCTAATGCAATACTAAACTGCAGTGGAAATGCAAACCGAGCCGAGCCGAGTCGTACCACGCCATAAGTAGCAGGATTATTGATGATACCTCAAGGAACAAACTTTTCACAACTCAAGGCAAGGCAATCTGACCTGAATCATGGAGATAACTGTGAGGGTAGAAAGAATAACTACAATATCGACAGTTTGTTTAGGATTTCTAACCTTGCTGCATCATGGTGTTGAGTGTGGGCTGTGTGGGTTTGGGAGGGTTCAGGCCTGCCGACAGGAAATCCAGGCTGATGTTCACGCTTGGGTCTGACCAGGTGGCAGGCATTGATACCTTCCCGCCTGACTTCTGCAGTCCCATCTGCTGGGGAAATAACGGACCTCCTATTGTCTGAAAAAGAAAGAGCAAAAAGTTAATTACTGTAAATTATATCTTATAATTACAACAGAATATACTCCATTAAACTCAATTTACAGCATAGTTTTTAAATTGATAATTTAATATGACGATTTACAATAAGAGAATACTGAACAATATATTGACTGTACTGCAGCACGTTTTAATATTAATATTTTAGGTGACTCATCCTTTTTGTAAGAAAATGTTGGTTTGATTATAATACCACGATTGATTATAATAGTTCCATGAAGGAAAAAAACTGGATCTTCGACATGTATCCATTTAACTCAACCCGCCTCTGAACTTCAAACGGATTCACCATGTATTATTCTGTTCCTACGACGGCGTTACACCATGAGAATATATTTGAGTGTACTACTTCAATTTGCACAGTCATTAAAGCTGGGTTCTATTCATTAGCTGTTGATTCGATTTTGAGATGTGGACATTGCACTCAAAAGTGGAGGCAGATAAACTTGAGTCGCGGGGCGGGTTTAAGTAGACTAAGGCCACATACACATTGCAGCTAAATTCACATTTTAGAGCTTAATCCTGTTCTGTACACACACAATTCAGTAATTTAGAGTAACAATCACATTCTACAACCGGATTAACTCCGAATTACCTGAAATATTCAGGTAGTGACAACTGCACTCACAAAAAAATAAAAATAATAATAATAATAAGTGTATCCGAGTTGTAATCACAGGGAACAATGTATGTCTTACAGTTTTTCAAAACTGCTTAGACACTAAAAGTGGTACTTGAGGCCCACTCAGTGAAACAATTCACTCATATGCCCAATCTTTAGAACAAGTCTGCAAAACTACAAGCACATTACGTGCTTTAAACTCTAAACACAGTTCTCTACATTATACACATCATTCAAAACTAACAGCGCTTTTGTTTCATTTGGGAAATGCCGCACTCATTTACTGAGTAGACTAAGGCCACACACACATATATTTTAATTATTTACTATGTGTGTGTATATGTGTGCGTGTGTGTATATGTACAGTATATATATATACATACACACACACACACACTAAATACTGAATATGCATACAAGCCAAGTTAGAGAGTCAACTTTATTTCTAAAGCGCTTTATACAATATAGATTGTTTCACAGCAGCTTCACAATAGTATCAAATTCTGCTGTAAAGCAGATCTAACAAGTCAAGAGTGTCATTATACAGCTCAAGTTAGTTCAGTATTTATTCAGTTCAGTTTCATAACCGTGTAGAATTCATCAGTTGTATATACATACTGTATATACAGTATATATGTGCATATGCATGTATGTGCGAATGCTATGACAAACTCTGGTGTACTCCACTGCATTCTGAACAAGCAAAAGACTCACGAGAGTAGTTAACTCTGTATCGTTTTAAGAACCGAGCCCAAACAACAAGCCCAAAGATGCTTTAAAAGCATCACTTATAATAAGTGAACATGACAACATTTCATGAGCAGCCTTCCAAAATATAGAACGCACTTGTTCTAAACTTAAATGCGATCGTCACTCCTGAAGTCCTGCATAGATCATCAGCCAGACATCTGTGGTTTCACAGGAAGGTCCAGCTACAAACAAAAGTAGTAAATCTAATTTTTTTTTGGACCATGTAATGTTCAATGATAATGACTATCATTGAACATTACATGGTCCAAAAAAAAATTAGATTTACTACTTTTGTTGACAACACTGCAGGTGCACAAATCGCACCTACTTTGAGGTCAAAATGTATACCTGCTATGCAAAATGCATACAGGTTGGCAAATCTGAAAGCCTTTCTGAACTGAACCGGTGTTTACCTGCGATCTGGACAGAGGTGTGGTTGCATTCTGCGGGCACATGTTGAAGGGCATGCTTTGGGATGCGCTGAGGCTGCTGTTGTTGGGGGCCATCAGGTCAAAGAGGTCAGCGGAAGGCGGTTGGGTGGATGTGGGCACTGGGGCGGCTGGAGTGGGTATGTCACTGAACAGGTCTGGGATGGCAGACTGAGCAGTGACAGCAGGAGGACTGGTGGAAGAGAAGGTGTTCCAGTCACCAAACTCACCGTTACCAGTAGACAGCGAACCTGAGGAGATAGAGAACCATTAAATAAATCACACACATATACATACTACCGTTCAAACATTTGGGGTCAATAAGAATATTTTCCCAAATAAATAAATTTTATTCAGCAAGGATGCATTAAATTGAAGTGACAAGACTTTAACATTGTTACAAAAAAAAATCCCTTCTCTGTGGAAGCCCGTTCCCGCCATTGAATAAAAATTAAAAAAAGGTAATTGCGACTTTGTCTCTCACAATTCTGACTTTTTTTCATGCACTTTTTTTCTCAGAATTGCATGATATAAATTCGTATTGCGAGAAATAAGGTCAGAATTGCGTGAAATAAAGTTGCAATTAAGTTTTATAAAGTCCGAATTGTGAGATATAAAATTGCA